CCCACCACCCCCGCCACCCCCACCTCACTACCCTATCCTGCAGCGAGACCTCTACATGAAGGCTGAACCCCCTGTCCCCCCTTATGCTGCCATGGGGCCGGGTCTGGTGCCCCCTGAGCTCCACCACACCCAGCAGTCCCAGGTGCTACACCAGCTGCTGCAGCAGCACGGAGCTGAGTAAGGCTTGGGTCCTGCCTCCTTGGCAGAAAGGTGGGGTGGGGGTCGGGGTGGCAGCAGGCCAGCAAAAGTAGAGAATGACCCTAGAGAAAAGCAGAGGCCCTGTAGCAAATGCAGGAACAACTATACTCCTGTGCCAGGCAATGCCTTGGGGGCCCTACAGGCATAGCTAATTGGTGACAGCTACTTTATTCACAGATGGGTAAACTAAGGTTCTAAGAAGGGGAAATGGTTTACCTAGGTTATGGAACTAGGAAAGGGCAGCATCTGGACTTGAACCTGGGACTGAACTCTTAACCCAGACCCTAGTGGTTTTCTGTCTACCCTATGAAGTCCTCAGATTTGTGAGTGACACTCCAAAGAAGGGACCAAGTTATTCATTACACAGACAATTGCAAGATGTTCTGTGTGCCAGTGTCTTCACTGAGTGTGATGGAGATACAGACTAGACAAGTGTGACCATTGCCCTCCTAGATTCCATGGGGGTGGGGGAGGAACAGTGACACCCAATGGGAACACTGAGTGATGGCAGAATACCAAGAGGCTGTGCCTGAGGGCTTCCTGCAGAACGTGTCTTCTTGACTGGGCATAGCCTGCTGAAATGGGGCAGGGGGTGATGGGTCGCACTGCACAGGAGGAAAGTGCTCAGAGAAAGAGAGCCAGCCCCCATGGGTGCCCACCTCTATCTCCCAGGCTCCCCCCCCACCCCTCCAAGAAGAGGAAGCACTCCGAATCACCCCCCAACACCCTCAATGCCCAAATGCTGAATGGAATGATCAAGCAGGAGCCTGGGACTGTGACAGCCCTGCCCCCGCACCCTGCCAGAGCCCCATCCCCACCTTGGCCTCCCCAGGGCCCACTTTCACCCGGCAATGGCTCCTTGCCCCTTAGCATCGCCCGGGTCCAGACACCGCCTTGGCACCCACCAGGTGCACCCTCCCCAGGTAGGTGACTGATTGTTTGATGCTGGGGAGTGGGACTCTGGGCCTAGGTCCCACCCAGGTGTTCCCTCCCTCCAGGCCTCCTGCAGGACAGTGACAGCCTTAGTGGTTCCTACCTGGACCCCAACTACCAATCCATCAAGTGGCAGCCGCATCAGCAGAACAAGTGGGCGACATTGTATGACGCCAACTACAAGGAGCTGTGAGTAACCTGTGCCACCTAGCCATCTAGTCTTGGGACAGCCCAGGACCCCATTGAGGTTCTAGGTCAGGGAATAAGATAGTCCCATTTGATGGAAGAGCCCAGAGGCTCAGGGAAGAACTAGGGCTGGGACTCAGGCTTCAGGGCCCCTGGTCAGCCCTAGCCTCCCTAAGGAGGTGGTATCTGCCAGGGAGGAGCCATGGGAGCCAAGTCAGAAAGAAGTGGGCAGATGTGTGTTTTCTAGCTCCTCCTCCGTGCCCTCCTCCTCCATTCCAGGAAGTTTAGTGTAAGCTGGGCCCTTCCAGCAGGAGGGTGGGGGAGGATTGGGTGAGAGGCTGCCCAGGGCATTCCTGGCCCTCCCTCAACACTCACATGGTTTCTGCTTCCCAGGCCCTAGGCCAGGAGACCTGTAGGGACCACTCCCTTTGTTCCTCTCAAAGGCCAGTGAGTGGGTCAGAGTGTGACTCCCCTCAGTGCATTTTGAACTTAGATGAGCATGGGCAAGGAGGCTGGGGCTTGGGAAGTCTCTTTAGAACAGTGACCAAGAGTAGGTGCCCTGGGCTTTGGGATTCCTCCAGTAGCTCCCAGGGCAGGGTGGGGTGGGATGGGATATCCAGTTGCTATGACAGCTGAGGTGATCTGGAGGGCATCTATGGGATCCGATCCCTATGACCTGGAGAGAATTTCCTCCATTCACACCTCCTACTTATTGAGCCCACCTTGCCAGATCCCCACCTAGGCCTCAAGGCCAGAGAGATCCAGTAGCAGAGGTCCCCAGTGTGGCCCAGACACTTTTTGATATTTCCCTAGGTCAGGAAGGTAGGGTGAGCCCTGTAAGGGAAGAGAGGCTGAGCCTAGGCCTTCCTGTGGAACTTGGTCATAAGTGGGGGAAGCATTCTCTCTGCCCAGCTGCTTATGGGAAGACACTCCTGTGTCTCATGGGGTACCTCTTATGTGTGGGGATCTAGGGGAGGATGAGTCAAGTCATAGGCCAAGGCTCTCTTTACTGCCCCTGGAGGTTCCCCAAAGGGGCCAGACATTGTCTCAGCAACAGATGGCAAACTTCAGTTGATTCTGAGGGGGGAGTCCAGAAACTAGTGCTCCTCTCTCTCTCTCTGGGGAGGGAGTCAGAACGAGAATGTTAGGGGCTTGAGCAAGTGGGTGGGCTGGGGTGGGCCAGGGAGGGCCTAAGGCAGAGCTGGCTCCTGGTTCCACCGTTTCCATGGCAACTAGATGTCAGGCACAGTGAGGCTCTGCAGATGCAGCCCCTTTCACACCATCTCCCCTAAGGGAGGGGGCTTCAGGAAGTATGTGGGAAATGGCTAAGTGTGCTGAAGGGCAGCCAAGTCCCTCTGGAGTTCTCTCACTTCTGGTGGGCCTTTAGAGCCTTGTCTGCATCCCTCATCCTGGTGTAGAACTGTGTGTGGCCCCAGGTGTGTACTGAAAAAATCCTGCATATCTTGTCTCGGGGTTCAGTTTCCATGTCTGGAAAGTGGGGACTGGCCGCTTGGTGGTTTGAGGATCTTGGGGTACAGTATAGAGTGGCAATGGAACGTGGGCCTGAGGGAGGAAGCAACAGTCCAGGTTCAGCTTGGAGGACTTCTGATGAATGCTCTCTCCCCACTGTACCCCATCCCCTGCCTCCAGGCCTATGCTCACCTATCGTGTGGATGCTGACAAGGGCTTCAACTTTTCGGTGGGTGATGATGCCTTTGTGTGCCAGAAGAAGAACCACTTCCAGGTGACTGTGTACATCGGCATGCTGGGTGAGCCCAAGTATGTCAAGACACCGGAAGGCCTCAAGCCCCTGGACTGCTTCTACCTAAAGCTGCATGGAGTAAAGGTAGGTTTGGGGTTAGGCCAGGAGGGGAGAGCAGGAGGGCCAGGAAGGCTCAGAAGACTAGAAGAAGCGAGTGTGTGAGGGAATGTCCCACAGCTATAGCCCACTTCTGCCCTGCCTCCCCACCTCTTCCAGTACCTACCTCTTAGACAAGGGGCTCCTCAGCTCTCACAGTTTCCTTTATACCCTGCTTTCTTCTCTACCCTGTGATCCCAAGTCTGTGTTCCCAAGCCAAGACCCATCTTCTGGCCCTCTTATCAGCTGCCTCAGCTCTCGGGCCCAAACTGAGTTCCCTGACACTTGCCCCCACCACCACTTCCTGCTCCCCCTCAGCAAAAAAGGCCTCAAGAACCTGGTTACCCAATACATTTAGGGGCCTTCCGATACTCCTCTCACTAAACACCTGGCCCTGCTTTCCCTGGAGCATCCCTCCACATCTCTTCCCCTTGGCCTCTCTCCTGGCCCCAGTCACTCCCTTTCCTTGTCCGAATGTCTATAGCAACTTCTCTTCTGCCTTTCACTCCCATGACACATGTGGTCACATGTCCTTCCAAGGCTCCAGTGTCCTCCCAGCAAAGTCAGGCTTCTAAACTGAGCTCACAAGGGTGCTGGGAATCCAGCCCTGTCTGTGCTGTGTCCCACATTCATAGCCCCCACCATCTTTCACATGGCTCCCTTGCCCTAGGACACCCTTCCATGACCCCAGCTCCATATTTCACCCCTCTCAGCAGAACCCACTCAAGTGCCCCTGAGGGAAACTTACCTTGAGGTCCTTGTGATGTAGGGGTTCCACAGCACAGCCATAGTGGCAGATGATTTGGAGCCATTGAGCTCCCCAGGGAAAAGGCCAGGTCTGCCTCAGTATCACAAGCCAGGACTGCCATGTTGGCATGGCTCAGCTAGTGTCTCTGAAGAGATGGAGGGAGATGTGGGAGCATGTCTAGAGTATGAGGAGGCTGGCTGCAGGTGAACAGAGTCTGGGAGTGAGGTTATGTGGGTGTGGGTCACCAGGGCAACTGGAAGACATGTGGGCATGCATGGAGAAGTTAGGGAGTCAAGTGGGTATATGGGGGTGTGGCCATCATGGAGGTGACTGTATCACCAGGCAGAAGTAGGGGAGGTGATGTATCGTGAGGTCTCGTGAAGGCTGTGTGTGTTCTTGAAGTGGCTTAGGAGTGTGGGGTATGGATGTGGGGGTGTGGACCTGTGTTTGTGGGGGAAGTGAGGTAGAGGCAAGGTTCTGCTACATTTGCTGTAGGGTTCTAGATGGACCTGGGTTGAGGAGGTAAAGGTGGGAAGGACTAAGTGGGGAGTCCTGTCCTGAGGTGACCTTAACTTGGGCCCTGTCCTGCCCAGCTGGAGGCCCTGAACCAGTCCATCAACATTGAGCAGTCACAGTCAGACCGAAGCAAGAGGCCCTTCAACCCTGTCACGTGAGTAATGGGTCTTATGTGGGGTGGTGCCTAGAAGGACCCACCTTGGAACTGCCTTGGGAGCTAGGGAGCCAGGCTGGCACCCACAGTACTCACCTGCATGCTCTTGGCCTGGAGCCCCTCTGTAGCCTGGCTTCTGGCACTCTCCTCTCCTGCTTCCTGAGCATCCTACCTTTCTTCTGCAGGGTCAATCTGCCTCCTGAGCAGGTCACAAAGGTGACCGTAGGGCGGCTCCATTTCAGTGAGACCACTGCCAACAACATGCGCAAGAAGGGCAAACCCAATCCTGACCAGAGGTGAGGAAGACCACCCAGCCATGGGATCCCCTTCCTTCTGAGGAGCAGGGTCAAAAAGGGACCTCCATGGAGCATGCCAGGCACAGGGGTCACAGATGGCCCAGTTCAGATCCCTTGGCTGGCTGGCTTAGGGAGCAGAAACCTGGCTCCTGGGTTTAGAAGCAGTTCTGGGGCTCCTGGCTGTGGACCCAGGGGGAATTCTGCCCTCTAGTGGAGGCTCAGGATTTTCCTACCAGGATAACAGTCTCCTGGGGGATGCGACCACCCTGGGGGAGCTAAGTATACTGTACAGTGTGTACCTGGCCCAGGGAGGGTGGCCAGGGGCAGTGGGGAGGCTCCCGAGAGTCTCTTGAGTGCCCTGTGTGTTCCAGGTACTTCATGCTAGTGGTGGCCCTCCAGGCACACGCACAGAACCAGAACTACACGCTGGCAGCCCAGATCTCAGAGCGCATCATTGTGCGGGTAAGGGCTATCTCCTCACTGGTGTGGTGTCCTCCCCTGTATTGGAAGGAAATGCTGGGCAACAGAGCTGCACTGAGGTACAGCTCTAGCTGGGCACTAGTTGTGTGGCCTTGGGCTGTGTCTCCTTCTCCACTGTAGAGCATGGAGGCAGATCACACCAGGTAAACTCCTGGGTTCCACAAGTGACTCAAAGTTGTCACAGTGGATAGGGCAGTTTAAGTTGGACATGACGGGGTAAGATTTGACTGGACTAGGACGGGTGGCTCTGGGATTTTCCCTTTTCTCAGTGCCCTGAAGTTCCCTCCATCCTCCAAGACTGATCAGCCCCAACTTGCCCTAGGCCTCTAATCCAGGCCAGTTTGAGAGTGACAGTGATGTGCTATGGCAACGAGCACAGTTGCCAGACACGGTTTTCCACCACGGCCGTGTGGGCATCAATACTGACCGGCCTGATGAGGCGCTAGTTGTGCATGGCAACGTCAAGGTCATGGGATCCCTCATGCACCCCTCGGACTTGCGGGCCAAGGAGCACGTGCAGGAGGTAGGGACAGGGCTGTGGGTGAGGGGTAGGGCTGTTGGTGATGGGTGGGGCCAGGTGGAAGGAACAGGCTGCTAGAGTAGGAGGGAGGAGACTGGCCCTGGATCTCTGAGCCCAGATCCCCTCCACACTGTGGCCCCCAGGCTGCTACCCTACTGCATTCACTGGATGGCTGCAGAAGGGGAAGGCTCAGGCTCAGCCCCATTCCCTGGCAGGTGGATACCACTGAGCAACTGAAGAGGATCTCTCGTATGCGATTGGTGCACTATAGATACAAGCCTGAGTTTGCTGCTAGTGCGGGCATTGAGGCTACCGCGCCAGAGACAGGTAAGACTCATCTGTGTCCCCGGGCTTTGGCCAGTCTGTCCTTTCCCTTGGAAATCCTGCTCTCCCCACCTCCTCCATTGATCACTGATCCCTGGAGAGCCACCTTCTGAAATATTGACCCCTATGCATCCTGTCCCTCTGCCCCTGGAATATTGTGCCTCTTACCCCTGGACTCAACAGCTCTAAGAGTCCTGGTCTGAGCTTTGTCCCACAACATTCGGAGATTCCTGTTTGCATCGTTTTGGAACCCTGCTTCCTTCCCCTGAGGTACTTCTGGAATTCCACCCACCCCTCGAATCCTGTCTTGAATTTCAGAACCCAGGTTGTGGCCAGCTGTCAGAGGGAGCCCCTGTTCTGGGGCTCATTACAACTCAACTTCTAGGAAGTCATGGGCAGGAAGTTCTCCAGGAAGTTATGGGCAGACTTGGGCAGGAACCCTTCCATCCTTGGTTTGTCCCTCCCCAGGTGTCATCGCCCAGGAGGTGAAGGAGATTCTGCCTGAGGCTGTGAAGGACACAGGAGATATGGTCTTTGCCAATGGGAAAACCATAGAGAACTTCCTGGTGGTGAACAAGGTCAGTGATAGGAACTGGATGAGGCTCTAGAACAGAGGGGCTGGCCAGCTGGGGGCATTGGCTGGCAGAGGGAGGGAGGAGCAGTTTAGTCTCCCTGCCACTGCTCTTGGAGCCCCTTCCTACCCCGCAGGAGGAGGGGCCAGAGTTCAAGGTAGAGAGGGAAGTTGACAACTGGAGGCTGTCTGGTCTAGGGTAAGAGGAACACCGCTGAGGACTCACGTCAATTAAAGGAGAGTGATAAGACAGCACGCAGTTGTCTCAAGGCCTGAATGTATGGTTTATTATGGTGTTATTTGTACCTTAGTGACATGAACTTCTTATACTCAGAGACACATAACTTTTTTTATTATTTAAATTTTTGTGATTTATTTTTATTTTATGTAAGTGCTTGCCTGCCTATAAGTGTACCTCTGTGTGCAATGCCTGCAGAGGCCAGAAGAGGGCATTGGATCCCCTAGAACTGGAGTTATGGATGGTTGTTAGCCACCTGGGAACTGAACCCAGGTTCTCCGAACCCAGGTCAGCTAGTGCATTTAACCACTGAGCCATCTCTCCAGCCCTGACATATAACATGTTTCTATATACCCAATGGAGTAGGTCTAAGAGCTGGAGCTCTGAGGTAGGCTGAGGGCATCAGGCATGCCGTGTGAGCCTAGGATAGGCTAGAGGAGAGGCCCATGCCCAGGCAGGGAGGATTCCAGGGCCTCTGTTGGCCATGGAGAGTGGGGATTCTGCTCTGGCTCCCCATCAGCCCTCAAAGCCACCATTGCCCTGGGCAGGAGCGAATCTTCATGGAGAATGTGGGGGCTGTGAAGGAGCTGTGCAAACTGACCGATAACCTGGAGACTCGCATAGATGAGCTGGAGCGCTGGAGCCACAAGCTGGCCAAACTGCGGCGCCTTGACAGCCTCAAGTCCACCGGCAGCTCGGGTGCCTTCAGGTGGGGATGCCTGCTGGAACTGGGGCAGGAGAGATCTCCTTTTGGGAGGCTATCCTGACCCTGGCTTCTCACTGCAGCCATGCAGGGAGCCAGTTTAGCCGGGCAGGCAGTGTCCCCCACAAGAAGAGAGCCCCCAAGGTGGCCAGTAAGGTGAGGTTGGGCAGGGCTGGGAGACTCATAGGGCCAGGGTTTCCCCATCTTCCATGGCTTCCTCTTTACAGCATGCACTCCTCCAGCCTCACCTACTCTGTTTCTTCTGCTCCCTTTCCCCCTCCTGACTCTGTAATCCTCCCAGCCCATTTTTGCTACCCCCTCCATCTGCCCCTAGGAAATGGGGGGAGGGGGCTTGAGATAGGGCAAGGCTGTAGACTCCCTAAGTCTACTCTGGTGTGCTTCATTCCCCTTTCTTTCCTGCCCTCAGTCGTCAACAATGGTCCCGGACCAGGCCTGCATCAGCCAGCGCTTCCTGCAGGGAACCATCATTGCCCTAGTGGTGGTCATGGCCTTCAGGTGACTTGTTTCCTAGGCTCTGGGGTGGCTGGCTTGGAGACTGTAGCTGCCCAGTGGGTCAGCTACACATGGGCCTAGACCCTGGGGTGGGGAAGAGGGTTTGGGAATCAAGCTGAGGTGAGAGAAGGCGGGCTGCCTCTTCTAGGGGCTGGGGAGGCTTCCAAACATCACTCAGGAGGAGCACAGAGCCTGTCACAGAGAGACGGTGCTGGGTGTGGCTCAGGTTCTGATGATGACTCTTTTCTATGGCTCCCAGCGTGGTGTCCATGTCTACACTATATGTGCTGAGCCTGCGCTCCGAGGAGGACCTGGTAGATGCCGATGGGTATGTTCTGGGAGGCTTGGCTATTGTACTATGCCCCAGGCCAGATGGAGCTTTGTGGGGGCAGCTCCATGTCAGAGGTGCGGGGAAGCTCTCTAATGGGATTCAATCTTAGGCTTGCAGCCTGCCTGGGCCTGTTGGGGTGGGAGGGAGGGTGTTCTTGGACTGTGGGTGTTTTTCCAGGCCTTCTCTGGCCTGATCAGTGCCCCTTCAGGCAGGCCATGGGGAGAAGGGGAAGACAGGGTACAGGGGAGGAGGACTAGGGCAGGACCTTGGGCTCTGTCACTGTCAGCCCCCAGCTCCTGGGGCCACCTCTGACTGTGTCTTCTCTCTCCTCCCCTGTGCCTTCTCCCCCTGGTCTCTCTCTTGCCTCTCAGCTCTTTTGCCGTGTCTACTTCCTGTCTCCTGGCCCTGCTCCGGCCCCAGCACCCTGGGGGGAGTGAGGCCATGTGCCCATGGTATGTGTCTGACCAAATCCCCCTCTCTCCTCTGGCTCCTGCTACCATTCTTCCTGCTTCCTTTCCACCTTCCCTCTCTGCCTCCTCCTGTCCACCCCCTTGCTTCTCTGGGACTCTCAGCTCCCTTCTCAGGGTCCCCCCAGTGCCCCTGAGCTCAGCCCACCCTTCCCTAGCAGGTCCAGCCAGAGCTTTGGGACCACACAGCTCCGACAGTTTCCTGTGACCACTGGACTGCCAGGCAAACAGCCCTCTTTGCTCCTGGGTGCATGTCTGGGTGGGTCTAGAGGGATGGGGTAGGGCAGTAGCTGTGTTCTGGGTGTGGCTCCAGCTCATGCAGCTTCTGGTTTCCTTAGTTACCAGCTCAGCCTCAGGTCCAGCTGTCCGAACCTTGGACCTGTGTACCAACCATCCCTGTCCTGTCATCTGCTGCTCCACCCCTAGCCCCAGGCCTGCTATAGACCATAGTCTTGGCCCCACTTTTACCTCTGGTCCCAGCCCTAGTCCCAACCCCGGCACCAACTACTCAGGTATGACTATCTTGGAGCAGGGCCTGGGTTGGCAGGGATGTTGGGATTATCTGAGTCCAGAGGAAGGCCCCAGAGGGAAGGTGAGAGGGTTTATTGGAGCCTAGAATGGACTGGAGGATTGGCGGTCCCTCCAAAAGAACCAGAAAACACATGGGGTTCACAGAGGCCCTGGAAGGAAGGAGGCAACTGGCCCCTCTCTTCTCAGTCTCTCCTTGGTTTCTGCCCACAGGTCCCAGCCAGATGGCTCTGCTGCCAGTCACCAACATCAGAGCCAAATCCTGGGGCATTTCAGCCAATGGCATTGGTCATTCCAAACATCCCAAGAGCCTGGAGCCTTTGGCCAGCCCCGCAGTCCCTTTCCCTGGGGGGCAGAGCAAGACCAAGAATAGCCCTAGCCTTGGTCTCCACAGCCGTGCCCGCAGAGGAGCCCCTCAGCCCAGCCTGGGCCCTGACCAGCCCACGCAGACCCAGGGCCGGCGAGGTACTTGCCTCCCCTAATACTTCACAGTCCAGCCAGGCACACTGGTCAGGACCCACTTCAGCCCAGTCACATGGTTGCCTGGGCACAGAATTAAGTCAGTAGACATTAGGAACCAGGCCAGGAGCCTCATGTAGATTAGCTTTTGTAATCCTCACAACCAGCGTTGGGGACATAGCTCAGTAGGTAAAGTGCTTGCCTTGAAAGAATTAAGGACCAGAGTTTGATCCCCCGAATATACCAGGTTTGGTGGCACACACCTGAAATAACAGGGACAGCAAGATGGGAGGCTGTAGAGACAGGCAGATCTCTGGAGCTCACTGGACAGCTAGCCTAGCCCACTGATGGCATCCCAGGCTAATGAGAGACTTTGTCTCAAACAAAAGGTGGAAGGTGAAAGAGGAACACTGGAGGTTGTCCTCTGACCTATACAAGCACGTGCATACATGTGCATCCACCCATATACAAATAGTCCTCACAACTGTCCCCACAAGCAAGGAACTGTCCCTATGGTTCAGTGGAGGAACTAGAGATTTAGGTGAAGGGACTCACCCAGGGTTATACAGCCCATCGGCAGCCCAGCCAGAATTTTGTCTGCAGTCTGCTAAACTCCAGATTCGATTTGCCTTGTCACTGTGCCAGAGAGATATATAGGGGCCCTCAACCTTGGATCTTTGGTTTTAACAAGTGGAAGCTCTTCTTACTGCCGGCTGGTTCCTTTGGGTTCTCTGGCCTCCCTGGCGGCCTTTAGTCAGTATCTCTGCACTATGGTGTGCGCCTCCTCACTTCCACTTTGTAGCTTAGTGAACAGAAGCCTGGAAACTGTGGCTTGTGCTGAGACAGATGTTCAAAGCAATGGGAAACCTCAAGGGGTGGGTGGCAGCTCACTTCAGCTCTGTGGGTGCTGGAGATGTGGCTCTGCCCAAGTGCACAGAGGTGAAGACATGGTGTGACGGCTCTCAGGAATGGGGAGGGCACTTAATCTGGGAGGACCAAGATGGTTCAAAACCAGGGAAGGCTTCCCTGGAGTGATATTATCTTTGAAGGACACTTGGGGTTTGCCCAGGAGGGAAGCCATCTTATAAGTGTCCAGTGGCTACACAGGGTATTCCAGGTCATACCAGGGACCTTGGGCTGTACCTCAAAGAGCTAAGAATGTACCAGATTGAGCAAATGTTCAGAAGCCAATGGCTGTATCTTCCCACATTTGGGTTTGAAGGACTAGGCAGCAGCAGGCCCAAGATACTGAGATGAACAAGGGAGCCTTGTGTCCTGGACACATGTCACACTTCAGTAGTGGTTCTGCTTAGTGAGGGCTACATGCAATGGGGCAGCCCTGGTTTGTGTGTACCTCTCCCCCAGTGGCTGGTTTCAGGTTGTTAGGGAGACCACTACTGAGCCCAGAGCTGGAAGATGTATACAGTCAGGAACATAGAGAGGCTTGTTATCTGGCTCCTACACACTATTGGCCGGGAAGACCCATCCCTGCTTTTGGGTGTCCTGGTTCTGTGGAGGAGGCAGACCCCAAGGCTCATGGGAACTAGCTGGTTCTAGGGCTGCTGGGAAAGTGATGTGACATGATCCTAGCCATTCTAAGAGTCTAGAAAGAATCTGAAACTCCCTCATACTAAGGTGTGTGTGATGGTCCACATGTGATAGGGAAGACTTGGTTATATGTCATCTGTATCCTACCCCTTCCTCCCTGCTCCAATGGCCTCTCTCCTTATAGACCCAGTGCCATCCCTGACCTCTATCCAACTACTGGAGAATTCCATGCCCATCACCTCCCAGTATTGTGTGCCAGAGGATGCCTGTAGGTGGGTTTGGCTCTCTCCTGTCACCCCAAAGAGGGTCCTTCAGGTGACATAAGCTCAGTCAACTGAGATGCCTAAATCTGGGCCCCTTCCCCCAACAATGGGTAGTCCCTTTCCAGGCCTCTGAGGGCTTCAGTACAGAAGGGGGCTGAGGAGAGATCAAGGCTTTGGCACGGTGGCCTTGCTGAGGCACCATCTTTGCTCCTTCAGGCCTGGAAACTTCACCTACCACATCCCCATTAGCAGTGGCACTCCACTACACCTCAGCCTGACCCTGCAGATGAAGTGAGTTGGGGCGGGGGGGAGCAAACCATGGGGAAGCCACCAGAGCCTCAGAAAAATCAACCCTGAATGTCCACTACATTTTCTACATGAAGGGCCCAGACGGCCTGGGGAGGCCCTGCAGAGGGCCACTGCTGCTTTGGAACTAAGTGGCCATATGACCCCGGCTCACTAGGACCACATGGAATTGTGGGAGAGCTCTCCTACCATTGCAGCCCCTGGGCTATTCAGCTTGGCTCTCAGGCCTTGTGTGGATGCATTGCTTGTCCTGGGTGGGATTGGAGTGGATGGGAAAGTGGGAGGCTATACCTACTGGCACAGGAACTCCATTCCCTGCTAACCTGGCTATGCCCTAGCTCCTCTGCCCCAGTGTCTGTTGTGCTGTGCAGCCTGACGTCAAAGGAGGAGCCCTGTGAGGAAGGGAGCTTTCTGCAGAGGCTCCATCCCTATCAGGACACCCAGGTAGGGGCAACCTGGAAACTGTGGGCTGGCTAGGCCACCTCCCTTCCTCCTTTCTGACCAGTGGTCTCCAAATGGGGAGCCAGAGTTCAGGTATCTCCACCAGGGGACTTTGGGCCAGACCTCTGTGTCTGGAGGATGAGGCTATACATTATTCTTTCCAGTTACTGCTGAGCATGTCTTCAGTAGTAGTGCCCAGGGGAAAACAGTTCATAGGGACAAACCTGGGCAGTACAGGGCCTACAGCTCTTATACTTAGGGTGTGGCAGTGATGGGTAGATGTGAGGTAGGACAATGTTAGAAGAGCCTTTAGCTCCTGATGGAGGGCTAACTTCTGGGGTCTAACTCATTGGCTGTGCTTCTAGTCTGGGGCTGATGGACTTCCAGTTTCTCCTTGGCCTGAGGCTGTGGGAGAGGACTCAGGGTGAATTACAGAAAGCAGTGCTAGTTCCCATTTTGTTGGGGCCTTTCTGGCTCCTGCCCTGAGCTTCCAGCTGTGGGAGACAGAGGTGGAGTAGACATAGGCTTTGAAGCCAAGAACCTGCTGTCTAGGGAAGGAGAGAAGACACACACAAAATACCTTGAGCAGAGAAGGGAGTGGAGGAGGGTCCCAGGGGAGGCCCCTGGCCCTGTAGAGAGGGACACCTGAAAATGGAGGGGCAGCCAGTGAGCTACTCCTTAGCTGTGGGGCTGTGGCCTGAACCCACACAAAAGAAGCCAAGTCAGAGCCTCAGATAGGAGACAGGCAAGCTGCTGGTGGCTAGCTCTGACACCATGATGGAGCAGTGCACACACCTGTGTCTGAACCCAGCTCTGCCACATTGCATTTGAGGGTGGTAAACGACTCAGTTCATCTGTAGCTATATACTCAATGCACTGTGGTTGAGGGCATGGTTAATGAGATACCCCCCTGAACCCAGAGCATGGGGAGGAGCATGAAGAGCCACAAGACTGAAGGTAGGCCAGGGCCAGAGTAGGTAGTCTGGGGTGGCTGCCCCTGCCCCAAAGCAGAATGTGCTGATCTGGGGGCTGTGATGAGGAATGTTGAAAAGGACAGGGGCTGCCCTCACCCCTCTCCCTTCTGTCTCTAGGGCACCTCTCATCAGTGGCCAGTAACCATCCTGTCCTTCCGTGAATTCACATACCACTTTCGGGTGGCACTGCTGGTAAGCACACGGGTCCACCTTCCTGTAGAGGCCCAGGCACCTCTATTTGCAGTGTGGGGGTGTGGGAGAGGCATGGGGGTTTTGCAGTGCATGTGGCAGCATCATGCATTGTCAGCTGGGGGAGTTATTACCTGCCCTGCACCCCAGAACCACCTCATCCCTTCTCATTTCCCTTCCACATAGGGTCAGGCCAACTGCAGCTCAGAGGCTATCCTCCAGACGGGCACAGACTACTACTTTCACTTCTACCGCCTGTGTGACTGAACTGCCCCTCGAGGCAGCACCACAGCAGGGATTGGGGGTCCCCTGGCCCTCCACACTGGATGCAAAGGTGTTACACTGGAGTCTGCTGCAGGCCAGCTCTCTGCCGTTCACTGCCTCCCTTCAACTGGGGAGACTGGAAGTCTTCACACTGGAGCTGCTGGGCCTGCTGGTCATCCTCACACAGTACAGAAGGGGCTAGAGAGACCAACCTCCTGGGCCTTCCTTCTGGCCACCTCCTTGGAGCGGGACAGGAACAATGGACGGCTGTCCAGATATGGCTGCTGGAGGGCTGCCTTCAGGGGTCCTGGAGGTGAGGGGGAGGTGGCACTCACTTGCCCAGTTCTACTCTCCCTGCCTCCCCTCCTGAGCTGGGGTGGAAAGACCACCTATGGAGGTTTGGACCCAGCCATAGAATACCTAGATGGACCCCCATGAGTCCACGAAGGGCAGATAACTCTTACCCTTGATGCTGTTCCTGGGGGGACAGCTTGGTAGAGGACTTTCTGGGGTTTGACTGTTACAATGGACTTGGATTTCTAAGCTTTAAATGTGGCTCAGGAGAGTTCTCCCAAGAATTCCCAGGGTGGCCAGGGCCAGCCCTGGATGGCTGGAGAGACTGACTTTGTGCCTTAAGTCTACTGCCAGTGCCTGATGAAGCCACCCTCACAGGCCTGAACCAGTGGGGCCAGTAGGTCAGATAAGCCTTGAGCCCTTGAACCTGGAGTATCCTGGAAGGGGAGGTTCCCTGTGAGCCCCCAAGATTGTTCCTGGGCTTTTCCAAGCTCATGACGGAGTCGACGACACTTGTTCTCTGAGCGGAGGAGCAGGAATCCCTGCAGCAGGCCGGTTTTCACTGGAGGGTTGATGCAAGTAACTTGTATTATTAATGAGGTAATTACTAAATGCACTTAAACCAGGGCAGGAAGGAGTAGGATGGAGCTGAAAGCTGAGTGGGCCTCAGCCTGGGGTCTCACTTTTAGACAGAAAGACTCCGGTCCCTCCACATCAAAGTTCCCCTTGCTGGGCTTGGACCTGTGCTCGGTAGGCCCATCTCTGTCTCTTCCACCCCCCAGGCATGGAGCTTGGGGTTAAGGAAGTTTTTCTCAAGTGCCAATTTCAGCATCTCTGGGTGGTGCCTGCAGCATTCTGAAGCCACATGTAGGCTCCTGAAGAAGTGTGGGTGCCATTTAGCTGCAGCTGTCATGGCTCAGCAGTGGGAAGGGGGAGCACCAGGCCTGGCCTGTTCCTGCCTTCCATTCTCAGCTCTAAGGGGAGGCCTTTCTAGGGGGAGCTGAGTTTGAGAAGCCTGTGAATTGTGGATCCTTTCTGCTGTGGATCTCAAAGCACTTACCTTCACGATAGGGAAGCAGCAGGGGTACCTTATCCCTGAGCCCTCTCCCCAACGTGGCTCCACTCCTCCATTCTGCCATAGGAATCATGACTCCACACATCATACAGGGGTCGTCCTTCCTTAGGACTACTTTGTTCTCCCTCCTTCCATGAGGGAGTCCTTCCTACAGTGCCTTAAGACTGCCGAGGCCCACGGTCTGTAATAGCATCCTGGGGCTTCCTCAGTGTGTGTGTGTGTGGGGTGGGGGGGTGTTCATGGTCTTGGATTGTAACTCCTCAGTCCTTAACTGGAAAATGACCCTCTACTGTCCACTGGAGTCCATCTGGACATAGCCAGCCGCAGGCCCTTTAGCATCTGGCTGTTTGCATGCCTGGGGAGGGGTCCTCGGTATGAGTTCGGGCCAAACTTGGGCTCCAAGCTGCTTGAGGGGGTCAACCTTGCACCAAAGTTGCCTTAAGCCCCAGGTATAAAAGGGCTTCAGGGAAGGTGTGAGGGCCACAGGCTAGTGATTGACAGCTTGCTTGGCCTTCTCTTCCTCTCTCCCTCTACTAACATGTGTTCCTGTAGCCACTGGGCTAATCTCCCCCTAGCTTCAAGCTGTACATAGGGCCTCCCAGTGTAGACCTCTGCCCATGCCATACCCTGTTATAGCCTGCGTGTTCATACAGCGTGTCTCCCCTCCCGTTAACTCCCAGTCTTTCCTTGAGTTTTGACTCATATTTATCATGTACCCATTCTGACTCTGAGGAGGGCAGAGGGAAGCCATTGGGCCTGCTTGCTTCCTGTCCCCCAAACTGTCATTTTCTTCTGAAGTAAATATACATATATAAATAAATGTATAAATACTGCTTTGTATTGGAGCCTGCCTTCCCGTCTCTTCTTGAGATGGTTCCAGTGGGAGGGAGGGGAGTCACTGGTGGTGAGGCTGAGTGGATTCTTCCTGAAGAGCCCAGAATCCCTGGAACCCTCACTCTAGAGGACCAGATGGCTACTTCATACCTTCACGGCCCCTCATCCTTAGCTTTACTTTGGGGTTGGGAAAAGCTTTGACCACTTCTTCCCTGATACCTGCCACTGCTCACCTAGGGAAAAGCCACCTAAAGGCACAGGCTGAGCCTGAAAGACGTTAGCCCAAAGAAGGGTGGCCATGTTTAAAGAAGGAGACTTGCTCAGGGCAGAATTGACTGCTGTCTGGTTCTGGAGAACTTTGTTCTAGAAACAAGAGAAACAAGGCCTGGACCCTTTCTACCACAGGTAAGCTCTAAACCAGTGACAGGATACCCCTGCTACACAGCCCTGCATGGGAAGAACGCAGCAGGAACTGGTAAAAGGCAACTGAGAATGGGACAGGTGGGACTGGAGCAGTCAAAGAAGCCCTAGCACACCATCCCCTTCCCAGAACGGACTCAGACAGGACTGTCACACATCTGCCTTTATTGTAAGCAGCAGGTGGGACACTTGTATCAATGGTAAAAAAATTAATTTACAAAAGCAGGGGCTTGGTGAAACTGCCTGTGGGTACCTGAAAAAAGAGAGTAGCATTAAGATGAGACCAGCGACCCTTTCCACGTGCTCTCCCTACAACCCAATGCTCCTAGCACGAGAGCTATGGGAAGACTGACAATCTGAGGATGGGTCATCAGAGCTCAGCAACCTGTTGGTGGGTTATCTGTTTAACTAACAGATCCTCTCCAAGTCATCGGTGTAGGCCTTGAAAGAACACAGGAATGAAACCATAGGCAATCAGCCCAGCATCCCTACGAAGTACACCCCAACTCTGAGTGAGGCCTTCAGCAATGTAGAGATCTCAGAACTGACACATTGGGTCACACTTGGCTCAAATCTTCATAAGGGGTGAAGAGAGAGGGTTCCCACCCACCCCCGTGTGCCTGCCCCCATGATCCCACAGGGTCTTGCAGGGAAGAGCCTAAGGACCCATTGAGGTGGCTGTGGGAAGCTTCTCCAGGCTGTGCGGTGGAGGTTCATGTCACATGAGCCTGTCACAGCTCTTACCCTTGGAGACTCATACGTAGATGCCAACCCAGAGGAGAAGGAAGAGGACTCCGAAGCCCATGAAGAGGGAGGCCACCAAGGAGATGAGGAGCTCCTTGTAGATGTCACGTGTGTACTTGGTGGAGGTGACCTCGTAACTAGGTAGAACTGTTAAGAGAAGCAAAGATGGACTTCGGGGTGTAGGACTGCTCAGCATGAGTCTGAGAGGGAAAGCAAGGGCTAAAGGCTTCCTGAGAGACTCATCCGGCTTGGGGCAGCCAGGTAGAGGAGCCCAAGAGAAGACCTGGGCCCTGCTGCTCTACACTTCACCTCCCACATTCATGAGGAAATGAAGTCCACAGGGGTTAGGTCACTTGCCTCAGCACACGTCATGGTGGATTCAGGAGTAGGCTCCATACCTCCTAATACTTAAGCACACCCCTCCTTAAACCCCCTTTCCAACTTCAGCTCCTATCCCCAGCTCCCACTCCAGCCAGGCCCTCAGCTCAGAGGTCCTAGAGGTCTTCAGAGCAAACTGAGCTCATGTGAAACTGGAAAATGGCCTGTCCTTGGGCATCACTTCTTTCCTCACCGTGTGCTGTCATCACCCCAATGGAAAAAAGTAGCAGGGAGCAGTTACCCAATGTGGTTCCTCCCTCAGTTCTCACGTCACTAATTCTGCCCCATGGGCAGCTCAGTTAAAGGATACACGAAGAACCAGGCGGTGAAGAACATGCCGATGGCCAGAAGTACCACGGTCAGGTGGGGGAAGACAGCCGGGTTGACTGGGCTGGTGTATCTACTCATGGCCTCGAGCTCCTACAGGAGGAAGAGAAGAGCCATCAGAGAATCGTGATTCAATCTGAGGAGACCCTGTGTTGCTGAGACTACATAAGGCTGAAGTCAGCCTTGGAAATGCAAAAATCTTTCAAATGATTCACTATGGGAATGAAAATTATAATCAAAACATATAGATATACTTTTAAATTTTATTACATTTATTTAGTCTCGTGTGTGTGTGTGTGTGTGTGTGTGTGTGTGTGTGTGTGTGCATACGCATGCTTGCTCACCCTTGCCTATGCTTGTGGAAGCCAAAGGTTGGTGTTAGGGACTTGTCTTCTCTCACTCTTCATCCTAGTTTTTGAGAAAGGGTCTCCTTGAGCTTGGAGATTCATTTCAGATCCACT